TCTCCCTTCTCCCCCTCCCTTTCCCCCTCACAACCCCCACCACACACAATCACACGTTCTTCCCTGCGGCCCCGTCCTCCGAGTTGAGCGAGAAGAGCAGGATGCGGCCGGGGTTGAAGTACAGGTTGGCGCTGTGGTACACCAGCGACCAGATGTACGGGATGAAGAACTCCTCCGGGCTCTCCTCCTCCACGTACTGGAACTTCAGCTCGGGGAATTTCTGCCAACGACAGAAGGAGAGTGAGGAAATAATTTTTTTAAAAACAACAACAAAAAAAACCCAACAAGTTACTCAGAGAGAGAATTTCTGGGAACGACAGAAGGAGGGTGAGGAAATAAGAAAAAAAACAACCCCCAAAAAAACCCAACAAGCTACTCAGAGAGGGAATTTCTGGGAACAGAGAGAGGGTGAAGAAATAAGAAGAAAAAAAAAACCCAAACAAAAAAACCAAGTTACACAGAGAGGGAATTTCTGGGAACGACAGAAGGAGGGTGAGGAAATAAGAAAAAGAAAAAAACCAAGTTACACAGAGAGGGAATTTCTGCGAACGACAGACGGAGGGTGAGGAAATAAGAAAAAAAAAGAAAAAGAAAAAGAAAAAAAAACATCAACAGGTTACGAAAAGAGGGAATTTCTCAAATTTCTGGGAATGAATAAACACCTAGAGATCACTTACAAATTCAGGGAATTTCTAGGAATGACAGAAGGAGGGTGAAGGAACGACAGAAGGTGTTGAGGAAAGAGAAATACACTGACACATAAACAAGTTACGAAGAGCACTTGTACGTTACTCTCCAGCGACATCACCTCTTTTCTTTTTTTTTTTTTTCAGCAGAGGTTTTACAGCGCTCGCAACTGCATAAGGTCATATGAGCGCCAAGGGGTGGGTGTCAACAAAGAAGTCCTAACAGGGAATCAGACTTACTCTGTTCACCTCTCTAGCTTCAACAGCACAAGGTCTGCTTCGACTATCAAGGCACCCCGGAAATAGCGGGTCACAAGAGAGTGACAAACATACAAAAGAAGTAGAGGAAAATGACAATAGTACGGACTAGGAAAGAAAAAGCAGCAGTTCCCTGTTGTAGATCAGGCACAGTTATGAGCGTGACATGAATCAGCCTATTTACAATTCTACTATGCTTGAACGAGAAATGTCCCCCCTTTGGGAATGGCCTAAAGACACTACAATCAGTGGCACCACCTGGGGGTACATCACCTCTAAGACGCGGCACTCGTATCACCTAATTGTGTTGCAAGAGCCGTAAAACATTTACTAAAACTAAAAAAAACTGTATTACTGTGACTGTCCACAGCACTCACCTTCAGCTTATCCTTCTTGAAGGTGAGACTTCCGTCCTTGATGGTCTGAAGGACATCACCCGGGGAGGGGTTCGAACCCAGGGGCTCCAGTCTTGCTGAGAAAAACGCTATCACCTGTGAATTGGTAAAACGATATACGTTTAAAGGACCAAAACAAACCGGAAACTCATGTATGTAAAGCATCTTTTCCACAGATACATCAGACCGAGCTGAGGTTCAAACCACACATACTGTGTCTGTACTATAATAACTACCATCACCATGTACTGTATCTATGCTATAATAACTAGGTCATCACCATGTACT